CTAGATAATAAATCCTCAACCTGTATTTCAAGCCATATGGTAAAAGTTTACTAGCTTGGAAACTTGGAGGATAAAAAGATAAGGCTGGGTGGGTGGTGACTTATATATTATGAGCCAATTGAAGCCAAAGTCAATTACTAATATCCTCTTTGATTTTGAGTTTATTTTTCTGGATGGCAATAAACCAGAAGCTGACCATCTTCACTTGCTATACATATATTTCTGGATTCATCTGTACTTATGCATGAAACTCCTTCACCTGACCAAATCCAGGTAATCAATATTTTGAGAATTGGCTTCGTTATTACCATGGCTATGTATGAATGAGCAGCTGCTTTAAATCATTGTTTTATTACCTTTGAAATCATGGAGAGAGCCGAGTTTAGCACCAGTCGGCAAGTCCCACAGATACACAAGTCCATCAAGTGTGCCTGCTACTCCATGACCAGATACTGTGCTGGCTACATTAGCCCTGTAAACCAGAGAACCATAGCCAGCCAATGAACCATGGATTTCCAAATGTTAACATTCTCTCATACACCTTTGCTTCTCATATAATCCTCAAAGCAGCACCACTACTTTTCTCGGGACGTGGAGAAACCAGAGGAGCTTAAGAAAGTAAATATTCAGGGAAAGAAAGAGATACCTCGGATCCAGTTGACTTCCCAATATGACTTGGTTTCTCACAAGCAGAGCCAATCTCCAACATCTAGCTGGTCTTTCTACACTGTCACAATTAGCGTCCGAGTCAAGATCGGTAGAGACTAGAAGCCAGATGGCAGTGTCTTTGACGTCAGCTGGAATCAATGTTTTGTTGTTGATCCTTTTTGAGAACCATAATTTTGTTGCAGCTAAAATCATGTCAATGCGTTCCTCTATTGTAGAATGACTATGTACAGGGTGCCACGCAAACAAGCTGGTTGGGATGAACTCAAATATCATATTGCTGGGAGATACAAATCTCGATACTAGGCTTCGCTTTGAAATATCCCTAAGTCGAGAATAAACCAAGTTAAAAGGCTGCAACCGTGGAGAAAAGAAGAAAAAGGAAAAATACTCTAGGCTGGTACTTCAAAGAT